ACAAAATCATAATCGAGTCAAATTATAATCGAGTATGTTTACGATGATGAGAAAAATTTACGTAGAACTTTATTATTTTTATCAATTTATTTTATTTTGACTAAAATCAACTTACAAATATATAAATTTATATGTATTCTCTCAAAATAAAATAACTAAAGCACGTTGCAACATACTTCGTCATACATAGTGATTTTGTTTTATTAATGAGTAATTGAATAAATTGCATGGTGGTAAGGGACCAGGTCCATATGGTATCGACAATCAACAACAAACATACATGATACAACTTGTAAATTTGAAGATCTACTGGAAGACAGAATAAGATTACAAAAATTCCGAAAAATCAAAAAGACAATAAAGTTTATGAAAATAATAAATTGTTTATTACAGAAAATTCACAAATGTATATGTAAATATGCCCCCCTTTAGTAGAGGAAACGAACCCTAATTCGTGATTTTTTTTAAAAAAAACTATGAAGTTCACCTTAACTTGTGTGAAAGAAAAATAGGGGTTAAAACAATTATAAAAAACTTTGGTAGCATAACATAATTAGTGAGAAAAAACAAGGGTTTATGCAACTAATTTTGCACATCTTGGTAGACGCTCTCCTTTAAAAACCCCCATTTGTTCCTTCCCACTTGATGATACTATACTCCTCACCGGATTCTATACCCCCATTCCTCTCCGTTCTTCTCCTCACGTCCGACCGAGTTGACTCGCTCTCTCTCTGTATCTGAGTCACAACCAACTATGGATGAGACCGATCGTTCCCGCGCTTTCACCAAGAACGTTAAACGTATCGTCGTCAAGGTTCCATCTTTCTCTCTCGGGTTTGACTTTTATGGTCGTTTGATATGAATCTTTAGTGTGGGCAAATGTGGAAAACATTAAAAATTTGTTCTTTTTTTAAATTCAAAGATTGAAAGATTTTACCTTTTGATCACAGACATGAACTTTGACTTGTTTTTTCTGGTTGTTTTATTTAACTCAATTCTCAGAGTTTGTATTGTTGACAGGTTGGGACTGCAGTTGTTACTGGGAAAGATGGAAGATTGGCTCTTGGCCGCTTAGGAGCTATCTGCGAGCAGGTTTTCTTTTTTTAATTTATAACATCGTTACACGTTCTTGATTAATCTCTAAAAAATGTTTTGAGGGACTTTATGTGTATACATGTCTCTTTAACTTGTTTTAAAAATGTAATGGCAGCTTGCGGAGTTAAACTCGGAAGGATTTGAGGTCATTTTGGTGTCATCTGGTGCGGTTGGTCTTGGTCGTCAAAGGCTTCGTTACAGACAATTAGTCAACAGCAGGTTTTGTTTTGGATACATGCCTTAAGTTTCCTTCTTGTGTTCCCCTAAACCAGCTCAAACTGTGTCTTGGTTATATTTGTTGGCTCGAGTTCTGTTCTGTATCTTCTTATTCTCTATCAATGTTTAAGAAATCGCTAGGAGGTAGTTATGTATTTATATGAGATTATTGATTAGTCAGGCGCCTAGACCGACTTTTTTTTAAATCGTTTTGTTTAGGTCCGATTTGCTTATTAGTCGGACGTGTAGGGTCCACCTAGACCGAGTTTTAAAACATTGCTCTCTCTATTGGATTTCCAGCTTTGCAGACCTTCAGAAGCCACAAACTGAAATTGATGGGAAGGCTTGTGCTGGCGTTGGACAGAGCAGCCTCATGGCTTACTATGAGACTATGTTTGACCAGGTGTTGTGACTTTCCCTTCTTCTTTTTTTTTGTGTGATTATTGGCAAGCATTTCAAATACTAATGTGTTGTTTCGTTTGGTAGTTGGATGTGACCGTAGCTCAAATGCTGGTGACTGATAGCAATTTTAGAGATAAGGATTTCAGAAAGCAACTTAGTGAAACGGTTAAAGCCATGATGAAGATGAGAGTTATTCCAGTTTTCAACGAGAATGATGCTATAAGCACTCGTAAAGCCCCTTATAAGGTTTGTTGATTGCCTTTTCTTTCTGGTCACTTTGTTAGATTCTTCTAAAAGCAACTTATAATCTTTAACCTATGCAGGATTCTACTGGTATATTTTGGGATAATGACAGCTTAGCTGCTCTACTTTCACTGGAGCTGAAAGCTGATCTTTTGATTCTTCTAAGTGATGTTGAGGGTCTTTATACTGGTCCTCCAAGCGATCCTGATTCAATGTTGATCCACACATACATTAAAGAAAAGCACCAGGAAGAGATCACGTTTGGCGATAAGTCCAAATTAGGACGAGGGGGTATGACTGCAAAAGTTAAAGCTGCTGTTAGTGCTGCTTATGGTGGCATTCCTGTTATCATCACCAGGTAAAAGGCCCTTCTGTACTCATAACCTCTCTACTTGATCAAGAAGCTAGCATATAATGTTGGACGGAACAGTGATACTTTTGTTGCTATGTTTTTGTTTTGAAGTGGCTTTGTAGCTGAGAATATAGCTAAAGTCCTTAATGGACTGCGTGTTGGTACTCTGTTCCACAAAGATGCTCATTTGTGGGCTCCGGTCGTAGATACTACTTCTCGTGACATGGCAGTTGCTGCAAGGGAGAGTTCTAGAAAGCTTCAGGTAAAAGTTGTTAGTTCAGACCTTATTTCTGGTTTTGCATGTGGATTTAACTTGTTTTGCAATTTTATTAACAGGCTTTGTCTTCAGAAGATAGGAAAAACATTCTACTCGATATTGCCAACGCCCTTGAAGCAAATGAGAAAATAATTAAAGCTGAGAATGATTTAGATGTTGCTGCTGCACAAGAAGCTGGATATGAAGAGTCTTTGGTAGCTCGCTTAGTTATGAAGCCTGGCAAGGTAAGACTAGTCTTCACTGTGTGATTGAATGTATTGCACCAATTATTTATTGTCTTCCTGTGGCTTATTTGTTTCTATTATAACATTGTTCGTTTCATGTACTTGATAGATCTCAAGCCTTGCTGCTTCTATTCGCCAGCTAGCTGAAATGGAAGATCCAATCGGCCGTGTCTTAACAAAAACTGAGGTAATATGAGGAAGATACTCGTTATGTATCATCCTCATATGGTGTAAAGTAGCTCTTGATAGTTTCTTCTGTAACAGGTTGCAGATGGTCTTATTTTAGAGAAGACGTCATCACCATTAGGTGTTCTTCTGATTGTTTTTGAGTCTCGGCCTGATGCACTTGTTCAGGTATGTCACTTTGACATTGTCCTTTTTGGTCTTAGATGTAAATTTCAATCGCCGACACCTTGTACTATCAACGAATTAAACAGATAGCTTCACTTGCAATCCGGAGTGGAAATGGTCTTCTGCTAAAGGGTGGAAAAGAGGCTCGTCGATCAAATGCTATCTTACACAAGGTGCATCGACCTTATATTCATATCGTAGTCATCATCTTAGTTCCCAATACATGTGTGGCTAATTTGTAAAATCATGGAAAAACTATAGGTGATCACCGATGCAATTCCTAAGACTGTTGGAGGGAAACTCATAGGTCTTGTGACTTCGAGAGAGGAGATTCCTGATTTGCTTAAGGTATAGACCAGAAGTGATTAGCTCTTTTTTACTTAATCTGGAACTTACCATGCATTTATGCTACAGCTTGATGATGTTATTGATCTTGTGATCCCAAGAGGCAGCAACAAGCTTGTTTCTCAGATAAAGAACTCAACGAAAATCCCAGTGCTAGGGCATGCTGGTACGTTTAGAGGTTCAGTTCCATTAAGTTCATATGTTGTATTGGCCTAGAGAGACTCAGTTTTTTGGTGTTTGCAGATGGTATATGTCATGTATATGTTGATAAATCTTGTAAAGTGGACATGGCAAAGCGCGTAGTTTCAGATGCAAAGTTAGACTATCCAGCAGCCTGTAACGCAATGGTTAGAGACTCTTGCCCTTTTCAGTAATGTTCACTTAGTACTTCTTGTCTCATCTCGTATTCTATTTTTATATTTTCCTAACAGGAAACCCTACTTGTACATAAGGATCTAGAGAATAATGGTGTGCTCAACGAGCTTATATATGCTCTGCAAGCCAATGGTAAGAATGGGTATTTTTTTATTGGATCTATCAAAAGCATTCAACCTGGATGATTCATATATGTTCAACTGCTTTTTGTTTGTCTTTAATCGTGAACTATGAGTTTTAAAAACCATAATTACTAAAAATAAGATAAGATTTAGTGTGTTGAGTAGCTTCATTATTAGACATATGTTTTAATTTTGAAGTGTACGCTCAAATTGTAGGCGTCACTTTGTATGGTGGGCCAACAGCAAGTGGTAAACTGAACATTCCAGAAACACAAACATTTCATCACGAGTACAGTTCCAAGGCTTGCACTGTTGAGATTGTAGAAGACGTACATAGTGCAATAGATCATATCCACAAACATGGGAGGTAAAAATTATTGCTGATTCCAAGTTATAACATCACCAAAACTTCATAGGGCCTACCTCTCTGTATTCTGTATTTTTTGCATGTGCTGGAAAATAAGTGTGGTCACTTACTTTTTTTGTCTTGTCTTGTCTCGTGAGAGCAGTGCACACACTGATTGCATAGTGACAGAAGATAGTGAAGTCGCAGAGATATTCCTCCGCCAAGTGGACAGGTAATATGGCTCGTGTATTAAAAGCATTTTGTGGTGTTTGAGGTTTGAAAATATTGGAAACTAAACTCTTAACATTTTGACAGTGCTGCTGTTCTCCACAATGCAAGCACAAGATTCTGTGATGGTTTTAGATTTGGACTTGGTGCTGAGGTAAGACAGAAAAAGACATTTAGTATTAAATTTATAAACCAAATGAACAGAGAAGTGTGAATGAATGAATCGCTAATGTGGCTTATTTTAATGTGTAGGTGGGAATAAGCACAAGTAGAATCCATGCTCGTGGTCCAGTTGGAGTCGAAGGGTTATTAACAACCAGATGGTACTAGTGAATTTTTCCTGTTGTTGCTCTGTTTTGATCTCTAATGAACTCTGTGGGGTTTAAATATTTGTGGTGGTGAATGGCAGGATAATGAGAGGACAAGGACAAGTTGTGGATGGAGACAAAGGAGTTGTTTACATTCATAAGGACCTCCCTGTCTCAAAAAGGACAGAGGAAGTGGAGAACGGGTTTTAGCTAAGTGTTAATGTCAATTGTTATGTTATACAGTTTTTACTACTATGAGTTTTTTTTATTATGATGTAAAGTTCCCTATGGACCTTCACCACCATAAGAAGATCCTTCCAACTTGATGGTCTTTTGAAAATAGTAAAGTGTTTACTAGCTTCTCTTCATGTCAAAAAACTCATTATAAGACAATGTAACATTCTGTTTTAATATCATTCTGCATGCAAAAGAAGATTAGAATGACTCAAATTCGAATTCCAGTTTCTAAACACAATGCGAGCATAGATGACACTAGAACAGAACTGCAACCACGAAAACTGGTGTCTTCAAACTTGATTTATTCTTGGATGAAGTTTTTGAGATTCTTCAACCACAGCAAGTACTCTCTGCTATCTTTCTTCATCATGTACTCATACATGAAATCCGTCACGCTTGGTTTGATTCCTCTGGCCTCAAGAAACTTGTGGAACGACTTGCGCATATTCTCATCCAACTCTCTGCAAAGTCAAGAAAGAACATTTGAGTTTCTTTGGTCATCATAGTACAAAAAAAAGTTATGTAACTTACTGAAAGTCAGGCCCGTCATATGTCAATTGCTCTCCTTCTTCGGAAGAAGACTTCTCTGAATGGTTCACAGACAAACCATCAATGACAATCGCATCAGGGAAAGCAGTGCAGCTAAACTCAAGGCTGAGTCCACTCTTCTTGGTCACAGTGACAACTAGCGGAATGCTTGTCTCGTTGGCTTTCTCATTACCATCTTCATTGTCATCCATACCATCATCTTCATTTTCATCCATGGAACCAGGCATGCTCACTTCTACTCTAATCTGCTCTCCATTGTACTCTCTAGTCAACGTTACATTCCTGTGACCAGGATTATCTTCAATCTTAAAAGGAAAGTCATCGGAATCTGTCGTCTCTTCTTCACCCTGCTGCATAAAGAACACACATAATCACCTAGGGCACTCAAAAGCTTATAAATCAGAAAAACCCAATTCATGAAATCAAAAAGTTCGAAACTTTATACAACTTAATCAAACAAAAATCCAAATAATGAAACCAATGCTATGATCAAAAAGTTCAAAACTTTATGGAACTTGATCAAAACCCTAAACCCAATTCATGAAACCAAAGCGATGAGCAAAAAGTTCGAAACTTTATGCAACTTAATCAAACAAAAACCCAACACATGAAACCAATGCTTTGATCAAAAAGTTCGAACCGTTATGGAACTTAATCAAATAAAAAACCCAAATCATGAAACCAATGATTTGATCAAAAAGTTTGAAACTTTAAGGAACTTAATCAAACAAAAACCCAACACATGAAACCAAAGCTTTGAACAAAAAGTTTGAAACTTTATGCAACTTAAACAAAAACCCAATTCATGAAACTAATGGTATGATCAAAAAGTTACAACTTGGTGGAACTTAATCAAAACCCTAAACCCAATTCATGAAACCAAAGCTTTGATCAAAAAGTTTGAAACTTTATGAACTTTAATCAAAACCCTAAACCCAAACGATTCTCTTATAATCTAATCTTCTCAAGTAAGCTAAAATGAAATTGAGGCAGCAAGAACGTTTAATTTACCACATCAGCTTCGAAAGCATCTTTAATTTCGGAGTCAATCACTTGGATAAGCGTCTCATCGGACTTTAACCGCTCGGTGGTAACCGTCGAATAGAGGAAGCTACGAGATACGAAAGGACGAAGCAGAGAAGATGGGTTTGGAACAAGGGATGAGCGATTGACGACGGCGACGGTGGAGATGGACTGGGATCGAGCTACACGACCGTACACGGAAGCTAAACGAGAAGCTGACCTGCGGATGCACAAAGTGAAAACCATGGCGGTTACAAGGGAGTGGATTTTCTTCTGCAGGGTTTTAGCTTTGGTCTTCTCTCCTTTAGGGTTTAAAAGAGAAATGAATTGTACAGATCCGTACCGGAACTTCCATCCAAACCGGAATTCAAATTAAAGTCAGAAACAAGACCTCCAATATCTATTTGGGTATTCGGTTCGGTTGGATTGGATCCATTTAAGAACCGGAGAAAATTCGATCTGGATTGGTTCATATAATATCCGAAAAATCTCAAGTTTAATTTCGGTTTAAAAAAAATGAATAATAATTTACATAAATTATCGGATAATTTAAATAGTCTATATCAAAATATCAGATGGCTTAGAAAATTTTAATTTTAAATAATTCAGTTTAAAATATTTAAGATATTTTTAAAAATAAATTTATAAAATTACATTTATAAGTATTTATCTTTTTTATTTAAATATAAAAAGTCTGTATTCCATGAATTCAACGTTTTGGTTTAGTTCAATTTTGGCTGATTTGCCAGATTATTTCATTTATTCAATCAAATTTTGGTTTAGCTCGGTTCTGGTTGATTTGGCAGGCCTTATCTTATCAACAAACTATCAATGTATAGAGTTCGGTTTATTCGCTCTGAACTATTCCATACGTTTATGTATTATATCATAGCAACCTTCAAGTGGGATTATTACAGAACGGTATTTGGGGGGGGGGGGGGGGTTAGGAAACCCAAATCCAAATAGAACATGTAAATTGTACAAAATAATATTTCATTCCATTTTATGCACAATAAGTATTTTATATTTATTATTTATTTTATATTTTTCTGCATATTATAAAATAATAAAATAATAAATGTACATATGAAATAACTAAGAAATCAGTTACTATTATGTAATAAATTGACGTATGCATACAAATTTAACTATCACTCTTGTTTACTCGCAATTAGGGTAAATAAATCAAATAATAAATCTTATATATTGTATATGATATATAATTAAATTTAAATGATATAAACATAGTAATATAGCACACTTTTAATATGAATATTTATTAAATGAGGTTTCTACTCATATGATTTTATGATTATTTGCATATTTGTGTAACAAAACTTTATACAACGATTTTTTTTTAAATGTGAGATGTTTAGTGGTTTTAATAATTTATAATCAATTTAAAAAAACCATGACATATTCAAAATTAAAATATTAACTTATCAATACACTACAAGAAAATAACCATATTGCAAGAATGATATATTGTTGCAATATGCTCATATATTGTTGCAAAACTGAAATTGCAATAAAATTGTAACAAATTTTAATTTCTTGCTGTTTGAATGTTGCAAATTCATATCCGTTGCATAGACGTAGCAAAATTAGCGACAAATTGAAATGTTGCTATATTTGTCATATTATTGCAATAATTTTTAATTGCAATTTTGTTGTATATTTACAACGTATTTTCTAACGATAAATAGTGGCAGGTCACTGCTACGTAAAAGTATAGCAAAAAACATTGCAAATTTGCAATTATTGTTTTCTTAAAATTTAATAATATTAATGCAACAAATGTATATATAAAATTATTTTGGTACAATTGCAACGTATGGTTGCAATTTAAAGTTGTTACAAAATTTACTATAAAAAATATATAGCAAATGTTGTTGCAAATTTTGCTATAATTACTTTTAAATAATATATTTGGTGTCAATATTTTTTGACGTGATTACATAGTTAACAATTAATATTTTAATAAAATAGTAGATATCAAATCTGATGCATAGAATCTGTTTTAGTATTTTGTTATTCGATGCATTATTTATTTTTACCTTATATATATTTTATAATAAACAAAAATCAAATGACCAATTTTATTAGATAAAACTAAAATATTAAAAAAAACAATGCATTAATAGAGAAAAACCAGCAGTAATTTAAAACTAGAAAAAAACTAATAAAACCTTAGAAAAATAACAAAAGCTTCCAATTTAAACTTGGTTATTGACACCCGTGGATAAAATAGCCGGACAAAGGATCGCAATCATTTTCTCCAAGCCTTCAAGTTTGCTGAGCCTTTCTTTGATATCTTCATTTTCTTGAGAAATGTCTTGTACCTTTTTCTTGAACTCATCAGTTTCCAATTGGCTTTCAAAAGTGGCTGGCATTTTACCAGTGAGCAAAACTTCACTTAGAAGAGCTCCTAAACCAAACACACGTCCTTGTGTGGAATCAACTAACTGTAGAATATAATATATGTAAGACAAAAAAGTCTATAAAAAATCCAGGAAAAGAAAAAGATTTTAAAACTATTGCATTACCTTCAAATACATTTCATTCTTTTTCTCAGAAGTTAGCTCTTCTGTGCTTAAGATATCATCTCCAAGCATATGATCAGCTACATTGTTTTCAAATTCTTCACTAATTAGCCTGGCCCTTTCATCCACAAATGACCCATCTGATTTCTTGTGTGTCTCACGAAGAACATCAATGTAAGATGCATCTCCGTTCTTTTCTTTCTACAAAAGAGAAATGTTAGAAAATAATATTAAAAGTGGTATATATGAAAACAAGTGTCTTACCAATATATCTGCAACCCTAGCATATGAACGTGAGCCAGCTCGGTGTTTATGAGGTCCCAGCCCGTTTCGATCTGACATTCGACTCTTAGAAGCTTTTTTACTTCTTTCTTTAGCTTTATCCGTGCCCCAGTAGGCAACCAAGTCTTTGTAGTAATCATCAAGGATCCAATATGGCTGCTTACCTCTTTCTTTTACTCGGCTAATCATATCGATCAGTTTAGTTGCAGCACATTNTTCTTTCTTTAGCTTTATCCGTGCCCCAGTAGGCAACCAAGTCTTTGTAGTAATCATCAAGGATCCAATATGGCTGCTTACCTCTTTCTTTTACTCGGCTAATCATATCGATCAGTTTAGTTGCAGCACATTTGCAAAACATCTTTCGCACCTCGGATTCAATCAAGTGATCCCAATAGAATTTGCTCTGTAAATATATATTATAAAGAAAATTAAGAGCGCCATACATAAAACTTAAGAGATATGGCATAAAACTTGAGCAATATGGCATAACTTAAGTGATATGGAATACCTTAAATGTGTACCACCATCGCTCTTTTACATGTTGCGGTGTAGTTGACCAGTTTCGATACGGGCCAGGAAAATCAGATCGGATGATTGTTCTTATCTCATTAGTGATTAGGGAATCACGTTTGAACCTACAAACAAAAATAAAAATATAAAGCAACTAACTTTTAATGTGACGTTCATATTAAAAATCAGATAGGATGATTGTTTCTTTTTACCACAATGATCCATTCAGTTTGGAAGGATTCAGAACACCCAAGACATTCGCTGCTCCATGATTTTGACCCTCATTTGCCATCTGGAGATCAGTTGGTTTCAAAGAACTGCAATGAAGAAGTTTACTGGATTGTTAAAAACACCGTATAAGCTGCATATATATATATATATATAAATGCATGAAAACAACAAAATCTAAACCTCTTGATATTGGATATACCCGTATCTTTTAGCATAATATTCACCAAACAAACTAAACTCAAGCGGCAAATGAAATATAAGGAGGGAACAACATTTGACTAAAAATTAAAACTATTCTAGTACTTACAAGCTCATTTCGTTTGAACTATTTAATAAAATTACAAATAAAACACAAAAATATAGAACCAGTTTCTCATATCACTAATCAAAGTACAGAGATGAAAAGTTTCCTCTTAAGGATATAAAAAGGTTTCAACTTACGAGTTCCTGTCATGGGAAACAGTGACGATTTTGTTGGACTTTGAGCTCCAATCAATTCCAGAAACAATTTGGTCATGCTGCAATAGATTCAAACTAAACTTGTAAGGGAGATTCAAGCTGTCCATAAGTGTAGAATCCCCAAGAGGAGAAAGGAAGTTAGTTTCAGATGGGAGAGAGAAAAGCTTCACCTTTTCGAGGACATGTAACCTCTCCCATTGGTCTTGTGATGATTTATAGATATGAACTTCATTATTGTTAGGACAAAACGCAACCACTACAAAAAAAAAGGTTCTTGTTGGTCAGCTAAGTTATCGACTGTGATAAATGGATCAGCCACCATAACTGGTCGTAGTTTCACTGTTTCGTCTTCACGTCGTGAAGTCTCAGCAGTCAGAACTCTCTTCTTCTGTTGATTCAGAATCCTGAGATACTACATCATCATGTTCTGAATCTATCTCCTCATCAAGAACATCATGCAAGTTGACAAAAGGTTCTTGTTGGTCAGCTAAGTTATCGACTGTGATAAATGGATCAGCCACCATAACTGGATTATCACTCTCATATTGTAAAGGACTCGAATCCAATTCCTCACTACATATTATTTTTCCCCTCGGTTGTATCTTCACTGTAGCATACCAATCACTATTCTTTTGCCTTAGACGAGGATATGGTATATAACATACCTGATCAGCTTGGCTAGCAAACACAAATGGATCATATTTTCCATATCGTCTAGATCGATTAACATCAACGTTCCCAAATTTGTTTATGCGTACACCTTTATCCATTGTTGAGTCATACCAATCACATCTGAAAAGTACAACTCTAAGACCAACTCTTCCTGGATAATACAACTCAAATATTTGTGTTATGACTCCGTAACATTCAGATCCTTCACTTGAATCAGATGTTCCTTTCACACAAACACCATAGTTGAACGTACTACGATCTTTTCCATGATCTAGTGTATGGAAATTGTATCCTCGACAAAAATATATAGGCCAAGATGTTACTTTAGTTGCCGGTCCGTGTACCAAGTCATGTAACCATAATGAATATATAGTACGGTTAGTGTCGGCTCCAATCTGAGAATTATAATAATTATAGTAAGTACCGTACTTAATATTTGTAAATATAGCTGAATATCAGTTTAATACTTACATGTTTTTTTAAC